GAGATAATTACATTAATATCATAAATTAAGGAATTTTCTTTCAAGTTGTTCAATTGTTTTTATATACACAAAGAATTACATAAAAAGTTTAAATCTTCTTAATTCAAACCAAATAACCAGAGCAAAAAATGTTTCTTTAGTGCTAACGTTTTTGACGCCCCTTCTGGCTCTTCTTCAGGCATTTACTTAAATCTGTTGCAAGCTGGTCTAAAATTTTGAACTTTTTTAGAAGGCATTCAATTTCGTATTCCAAAAGCACACACATTCCAATTTATTCAAACATCATATGCTACTAAGAGATTCGAAATGCCTGAAGAATGCCCAGAAGGGGCGTCAAAAATATTAGCACTAAAGAAACATTTTTTGCTCTGGTTATTTGGTTTGAATTAAGATTTAAATTACATAAAAAGCTTTGTAATGTTCAAAATTCAAAAATAAACTGTTAGGAAAACCAAAGTACAATAAAACTACAATTAATAGAATAATTTGGACAAAGGGGTGTCTGTTATATAATAAAGTAAGTTTTCCAAATGTGTGTGTTAAAAAATTGACAAATTAGTTAGTCTGTTAGTATCTGTTTACTTATGTAGCTACACTTGTGTAATTAAAATTAAGTGTGTATGATAAGTTCAATTTCACAAAAAAGTTTTCTATATGTACAGTAATACCTCGACTTACGCTACCCCGACTTATGCGATTTTCAAATCTTGTCGATTCATCTTTTGTTTGAGCGCCAAGCAACTCTCGATTACTCAATCCCCCCCACACTATTGTTTGGCTTACATGTTCAGACGTGTCGCATGGAATCGACACATAGCCACAATTTATTTTGTGTTATTTATTTCTGTGTTTGTTATATCTACAGAGACTTGAGAGACTCTATGTGGTGATTTCTTCTAACCGTCAACGAATCAAAAGACGAGATAAGATTAACGAGAACATTTATTAGCTTACATACATCCGACTTGGGTTTTACACAAATTGCGAAATTACACCCCGACTTACGCAAATTCGATTTACGCGATTATCGCTCGATCCCACCTATCGCGTAAGTTCGGAGTATCACTGTATTATTGTTTATGTACTCACTTTAATACTGAGATTATAATAAACAAGTAAAAATAATAATAATAATAATAATAACAGCTCTCCTGTGGTCACCTGGTCATGGTGGGAGAGCCCAGTAATTTTACTGATCCATAGAGCAATGCAGGCTGGAGCACAAGCTCTTGGTAGAGACACCCATGCAAGTAGGGTCTATGGGGAGAAATGAAGCTAAGAGTGACCACACCCACATTCTGTGGAGATATTTATCATGGAAGTAACCAGATCTAAGTATGACAGCAGCTTGGATCTCACCTATATTAACAAGGTCTGTGTTTGTAGGTTAGGCAGAGGCTCACATTCGAAAAATAGGCAACAGTCTCCCTTGGTTACCAGTGGCGAAAGCAGCACTGGCCCAAGCATGGCTACTGCAATGCCCTCAACAGATGTGAGGAATCAACCTAGCCTTGATGTTTCTGTGGCAATGCACCCACAGACCACAAAGGCTGGAAAACCATGCCAACGAATAAAATGGACAATAGAAATAAATGAGTTTATCATCCATACTTACTACACCATCACAAAACTCAAAACAAACATGACAGAGCACAGACACCATAGATTCACACAACAATATCCTCCCTTCACTGTCAGTGAACAAAGGGTTGTTGATCAAAAAAGAACAATTATAAACAACAACCTTATCCCACAAACAACACTTGAACTTATCAAACTACAGGTTGCTGATCAAATACATCAACAGACAGAAACATTTAACATTAATGAAGATCACGTAACCTGTCAGGATAATCCAGCAACAACCATTTATCAATACTTGTTGCTGGATTGTTCTGTGTGTGCTATTATCATAGCACACATACAACAACTACAACTAATGATACTACAGACACTTCCTCATCCATCACTGATAATATAGAATAAAATTAGTTAATACGCTCTCACTTATATTTCAGGAAACATTCACTAAATATACTGGTACAGATCCCACACAAAGACCACGAATACCAAAAATCAACACGTCAAAGGAAGTAGGAAAAACACTAAATTATGTAAACACTCACTTACTACCACATTACATCCATTTAATTTCTACACTCTCAAACATTCATACATTAGTTTATGCTAGGGCAGTCAGAAGTGACACACCATGAATTGAAAATACAATTGCAGACATAACAAAATTCTATCACAAGCCTTCATAGTAGAAAAGAATAGAAAACCAAATAAATGACATTAGACAACAATTAGGCAGGCCAGCCTAATTGCTGTCTAATGTCATAACACATTAACACAACACACTAAAAACAACATAATACCCAAATTAAAGAAACAACTCAAACATTTTCAAGAAAATCAAAACACACTCATTACAGAATACATTGTTACAGTAAAACAGAAACTTTCAGCCAAAGCACAAAGACTCAAACGATACAAGACATGTACACTACGAAAACAACAAAATAAGTTATTTACAAACAATAAAAAAAAACTTTTACAAAAAAATTAGTACCAAAACAAACACTGTTACAAAGAACAGTGGCACACCAACAGAAGAACTCACAACTTATTGGTCTTCTCTTTGGTCCAGTGATGTTACACACAATGCTGATGCAGGCTAGATCAAGGAGGAGAACAGAAACTTGCACAACATACCAACTATGCCCTGTGCTGAAATAAACATACACGACATCCACTATGCTGTTAACAGAACACACAACTGGAAGACACCTGGTGTAGACAACATTCACAATTTCTGGTACAAAAAATTTACATTCTGCACCAGGAACTAGCCAAACATTTGACACACATCATCATCAACCCACAAGATATGCCAAAATTTCTTACTTAGGGCATCATCTACATAAAACCTAAAAACAATACCACCACAGACACCACGCAATACAGACCAATTACATGTCTTCCAACATTCTACAAATTATTGACATCTTCTAACATAATATATAAACATAATATATAAAAATATTGAAAAACACAACATTCTTACAGAACAACAAAAAGGTTTCCGCAGAAATCACAGGAGATGCAAAGAACAGTTGCACTCATAGCACACAAAATGCACTCATAGATTCAGTCATTCTACAGCAAGCACACAAACAACACAGAAACATACACACAGCATATATAGACTACAGAAAAGCATTTGACGGTGTTCCACACAGTTGGCTGCTACATATTCTACACAGGTACAAAATACTTCCATCACTCATTGCATTCTTCCTAAACACTATGCAGCACAACTTCATCAACTCCTACAAATCACACATTCATACACCAAGGACATACAAATAGAGTTTGGCTTAGACAAATGCAAAACACTTCACATAGAAAAAGGAATCCTAAAGAAAGAAGATTTTGCACTTGGAAATGGAGACATTATTGAATCCATGGAAGAGGGCAAGTTCTACAAGTATTACATAATAATTATCATTTTATTATTTATTTTATTATTATTGGCTGCAATTTGAAAAAAATTGTAGATCGATAAATTCCCACTATTGTCCATCTGTCCATCTTTCTTTAATCTCAAGAACGGAGTTAGTTAGATGAAAGATGTAACCAGGTATGGAAACCTTAGGTGTAGGAGGCCCTATTAACTATACACAAACTTCCAGTGCAAACTAGAAGTCATGTCATTTCAATTAAAAAATTTTTTCCTGAAAGGTGTTAGACAGATGACCGGCACTACTAATAATTCATATTGTAACTGGTGACCATGGAGACAAATTTGTTTGGAGACATGCATCAGATAAAATTTAACCCTTTGATGAATGTGATTACCAGTGGCTCTCTCTCCTCTCAGAGTGAGTTTTTAAAAAATGTAATACAGTAGAGTGTCATTTATCCAAATGAGTTGGGGATTGGGGTTGTTTGAATAACCGAAAATGTACGAAAAAATATATTAACTTATCCCATGTTGAAATTTTTCTCCATTGCGTGTCGCTTTGCGTTGAATTTTTGTTGATGTTAAGCCAAACATAAATTTTTAAAATAATAATCATGGCTATCATATTGTTAAAAATTATTTCTTTATTTTGTACAAACAAAATAAATATATTGAAAAATATAAAAACAAAAAAATTATATTTTGGATGTTAATTTAGTATCAAAAATGTTTGATTCAGCACGACACAGTCAGACCGGAACGCTTTCGGTTAACCAACGTTTCAGTTGATCAGCTTTCAGATAAACGATGCTCTATTGTATTTATTAACTAGCTTACCCGTCGCGCATTGCTGCGATCTCAGAAGAAAGGAAATTCAAGCAAACTCGTTATGATAAAATTCAATTTACATTTTATCATTTTTGTTGAAACTTATTATTATTATTGATTTTCATCGGAAAAACATTTCAAAGTGTCGTTTCAATTCTATTTATTGGAGTGCTTGTGGATACACAATATTTTTTGTTTTTCTGTCTGGTGCATACACGAATAAATCAGAAGGATTTCTGACACGTGAGCCGGCCACATACAGTTCTCCATGCCAGAAGCACTGTTTCTCCAAATTTAGCCCATACACTTGCAGCGATTGTCAGAAGCGCGATATTTCCCAATTTTATATATATATTTTTTAATCCTTTATAATTTTAATTATTTAATTGCTCCTTCGTCTCTTCCTTGGCACGTTGTGAAATTTCTGATAGTTGGATAATAAACCGTTTTATTGTAATTTGTCTTTTTAAATTATTTTGAGTCGATATTAAAATTTGGAAAAGGGGGGATACCTAGATCGGTAAAATACGCGAATTTCTTCCTACAACTTCGGTTGTTGTTCGGGGTACAGTTAAGGTTTTAACGAAGTTCGAGCGAATACATAATTAGCAAAAAAAAGTTGAAATAAAGTGATTAAACAAAAATTATTACAAATATCGTAAATAACAAATGCATATATAGAGATATTTTTTGAAAGGGGAAAATGGTCTTCACAATTTGAAATGGATCCAACACAGTGCTCGAACGCTCGTGTAAACGCGCGCCATCTATCGTAAGATAAATGTACTTCACGGGAGGGTATTAAAAAACTTTCCAAAGTTTCATGGCAATCGGATAAACGGTGTGGTAATGCATGAAGGACAGACACACATACATTCATTTTTATATATATAGACTATTAGATGCCATGTTTGTCTTTAGGCTAGAAAATTTTCTGCTAAATTGCACAAAACATACAAAAACCACAAGGAAAAGTTTTATAGATCTGTCAGTAGATGTTATTAGTTAACAATTTATATTTGTCTGTAAATATATGAGCATACTACAGTGAGACAAACTTGAAGAATGTATATATAAGTGCTTACTCTGTAAAGTCCATCACAGGTATCACATATATTTCCAAGAGTACTCATCAAAGAATTACTGTTATATTTTTAACATATTTCATTCAAGTTGGTCAATCTCTTTTTTGTTCAACTCTCTCACTTATACAACTTTATCATTGGTCTCTTTAGTCATATAACTGAGGTCACTGTAATTTGTTTAATGTTTGTACTTAATTTATCTTAAAAATAAATTTTATTCCTAATGTATTTCTTTTCAATTTTGTTGTTTATAACTGCTGTGCTATGTCATATTCCAGGAGGTTGGAAAATTATGGGTTATACTGGTACTGTACATAGTTCTAATTAAAAGTGAAGAAAATGAAACCAATTTTAGCACTGTCAATGTAAACACCATAATACTATATCAGACTTTTATTTTATTTAAAAAAAGAACATGTTATTCTAATTTTTCAAAACATTTTGTTTCTTTTTAATCGTATTCTGTTAATTGTTTCATGTTAACAAAAGTACAAAGAAACAAATCCCAAAATAGCAAGACAAATATTATTGGATGCACTTTTACGATTTTTTGAAAATAACCAAAAGACTAGTCGGCAAAGGCTTATCCCTAATCCATAAAGCATTAAGCATGTAATTTTGATATCTTAAATAAATATCATTTTATGATTATCTAATATTAATATCTTTTATATTTCTGTTGTTTTAATAACTAAAACTTATATTATAAAGTTAATTTTCATCATTATTATATGATTAATCAGCAACAATGGTAATTATGAAATTACAAAACACGATTCATGCGATTAAATGTTACAAGTTCCACTTTAAAATCTCCAGGAAAGATGATTTATAAGTTTTAAGATATAAGTGTAATACAACTTACTGTGAATGAAAATCTAAAGAAGGAGGCTCAAAAACTATAGGACTTTCATATGTTTTAAGTGTCTCATCTTCTAAGTCTGTAAAACTGTAAAACATTATTAAAATTAGAAATTAATAATTCAAATATTTCACATAAATAATTACTTTTAAAATCACGTATTTACATTTTATTTTCATTTCGTTCGTTCATGAATATTCGTAAGAGAAACAAAATGGCGTTTCGGGAACAGAACTCAGGAAGGTTAGTCGCTAGTTAGAGCTTTCAAAATCCTTGAAATATCTGGAAATTTGTTAATTACGTGCAAATTTTAGAATACTTTTTTAGTGGGAATAAAACTTTAACACAAGAATTTCATTATTTAAACAATTTTAAATAAAATCCGGTTATAATAGAAACAAATATCTTGAGTTTCGATGATGTAATAGGCAGAGGTTACTTTTAGCTCCCTTGCACATAGACTCACCTATATACAAATTATCTAAAGGTAACTTCTACCCTACAAACAAGATGGTAAATGTTACACGTCAATATGTGATATGTAATATTTACTTAAAGCTGTAATGACAGCTTATAACACTTTTGCTGCTTTAATATGCTTTTCTTTCTATAAATCCTATAAATTTATTAAATTAAATATTCAGAATTTTGGATAATTAATAAATTTTTATATTTGATTAAAACTTTAACAAGGTTTATTTTTTATGTTTTTTTAATTTTGTTACCAAACATGGTTTAAATGTAATAAAATATTTTGAATAACAATAATATTAATTATTGAAAATATTTTTAGTTTGATGTTTTCCTTAATAACAACCTGAGCATATAAAATCAGCCGTGTGGAAATATCTTATATTATTAATAGTAATCGTCCGTCGAAATTATTTTAAAAAACTTTTATTCTTTTTGAATTTTACTTTCTAAGGCCTCTGTAACTGATATTTATTTTTCTATTGGATTTTTGTATTATGAGTTGCCTTTATTATTATTAGATATGAAGATAAAATAAAGAAAAGTTTGATATTAGTTTGTAGAAATAAATATTGCCAATCTTTGTAATTCATATTTTAATATTAAAATTACATCAATTTTTAGTGACTTTTTAAAATAGTATTAATTAATCTATAGGTGTTTCCAATTACTAAGTTCTTTGCTTACTCTGCTGGTGATAAATTTCGTTTGTTAATTGGATGACTTTGCTTAATTGAATGGCCATCTATAGTCAATAGTTATGAGCAATGACATTAAGCATTTTTGTGTGACTAATTTTGTGAAAATAAGGATAAATAAAGTATATTAAATACTGTGTACAACTATATACAGGGTGATCGGAAAATGTCTGGCCAAAATTTAAAGGGGGTTAGAGGGGACGAATATAAAAGGATTTGCAGTACAATGCTTGTCCAGAAATGCCACATGAAAGTCCTGGAGAGTAAAGAAAGTGGAAAGGTAAAAGGAAAGAGAGAAAAACAAATGTAACAAGCCCTTTATTAATAAGCCCCAACCTTTGCGCAGCTCTCCCATTTCCATTTGCAGCTTCATACATCAGATGGATATCTGCTAGTTCAGTATTCGTAAAGTGCTGCATGCTGTATGAAATCACAGTGGGAAATAACAGCTTTTTGCATTGCCGGCTTGTTTTGACTGCCCTACANACAATAAAAAATTATACTTCAGAAGTTAATTTAGTATCAAAAACGTAAAATATTTGAGTAGTCCAAGACATAGCCAAAGATTGCAGCGCCACAGCACTAGCAAAAATTTAAACTTGCCGACTGGAATTCTTTCGGATAATTGACATTTCGGATGATTGACTTTCGGATAATCGACGCTCTACTGTAATGTTTTCATATACAGGTATACCTCGAGTTATGTCGTTCTCGATTATACGTCGTTTGTCAAAAAATATATGGAAAAAATAAAAATCAAGTTTAAGTCATTTTATTCGACTTTACGTCCATCCGCCACAAATATTGGAGTTGTAATATCACTAGAAAAGCGTTAAAGCACATAAAATCATATTAAAATATGTATATTAACAGTAAATGTTAATATAAATCCTAGAGAATGAAACATGAAAACATCTGTGTTTCTGTGTTGTCGTCTTATTTAGTAGTCTTTAAGTGCTCAATATTGGTGTTTTCCATGGTAGTTCCAATATCTACTGTTTGGTATCGTTGTCAGCATCACTCGATATTGGTAAATTTAATATAAATTAGTTTATTTTCTACTGTCGCAAGATAATTTTAATAACTGTATTTGTTATTTAACCTTACAAAATCATCTTATTTTATAATGTCTTAGAGCAAACCACATTCACAAATAGAGTCTGCAATGTACTTTAAACATCGTCAAATTGTAAACATGTACATTTACAGTATGTACTGTACGTACAGTACAGGAATTCATAAATTTAGATTACTTTTTTCTGTACTATATTAAAAACTAAAATTTATTTGTTTGTAAGCTTAAAATAGATTCTTATTAACCACATATTATTAAAAATGCATTTATAAATAAAATACAGAACTGGGTACGGTTATTTGTGGTTTATCCTAGTCACAAGTAAATTCAAAGATAAGTAAATTCGACTTACGTCATTTTCCGACTTAAGTCGCATCTCCTGGAACCAATTACTGATGTAAGGCGAGGTATACCTGTATATTGCAGTTGTGGAAATAATGTGTAATGGGTATTTAAATATGTTGCATGGCAAATCAAATTTTCAAGATTTGTTTACATTTATTAATGTTAAGGGATTTATACTATTTCCAATAGAGTTGATTTTGTTTCCCCTTTGATGTAAATTTAATTTAATGTCAAACAAATTCAATTCAATTCAATGTAAAGAATAATTTCTTCAAAGTTTTGAAGAAATTATTCTTTACATATTTATCCATCAACCAAAGCCGAATATTATTGGGCTAGAAATGGCTATAATACTAATAATTTAATAGACAATTTGGCATTAAAGTTAGGTGTTAGGTGCCATCTCTTGATAAATTTAATAATTATAAATTAATACTTAATTAATAAATTAATTATAAATTAAATTTTTTATTAAGTCATAAACTTTACATATTTATTCTGTTTATGACTTAATAAAAAATGTTCCAAGTGCAATTTAATAAAATGTATTTCTTTCTCCATTTTCATTATCTTTCTTAAAACAGGTGTAGAATCTGCAAATGTTTGGATTTAATATACTTTTGTAAAACTACCTTAAGTATTTTTAATAAGTAATAAGAATTGAAGACTATGCTAGCATGTACATTGTTTTGTCCCGTGGTCTTCAATCTTTTTGTTGAAAATTGTTGAACTTCTACATAGGACAGATATAATTTAGACTCATGACTAGGGTTTCTTTCCCAGGATTCCCGTTGTTTATTCCCTACGAGAAAAATCCCGGAAAATCTCACATTTCAATAATAATTTATCATGTCATGTTATCTTTCTATCATTTATTATATGAAAAGTTGCATCTTGAAGACTCACCTAAGAGAGAAATTTTGAGGTTTCATGCTGCATTACCTATATTTTACAAGTCTCTACTTGTTAGTTCATGTAATATCTATGTATTATGTTTGCGCATTATTAAACATCAGAACACTCGCTGAAAGTAAATATCACTCATCGCACTTTAGTTTCGAATTCACATTTATAAGTTAAGGAATTTGTTAAAGCTTACATTCCCATATATATCCCATCATTTGTAACTGTAAGTGTGATTATTTGAAATTTCTCTATTAGTCAATTACTCGTATTTTACAACAATTTATTTTAATACAAGTCTCTACTTGTTAGTTCATGTAATATCTATGTATTGTGTTTGCGCATCATTGAACAGCGGAGCACTTGCTGAAAGTAAATATCACTCATCGCACTTTAATTTATTTTTTATTTCATCTTTAGAAGTAAAATAGCATTTTTCTCGTAATCATTAAAAAATCCCAATGAAACGCTTTATTTTACTTTCATCTTATAATGTAGGAGAACATAAATTAATTGAGCCTAACGTGTCCGTATGGGTGAGATTGGCCCTACACTTTTAGTTACTTACTAGAAAATAAATTAAATTATTCAAATTTATGATATTCCTGTATGATCTTTTTTATTCATATAAAATTCTATTTTACTATCTCATCCCGGAATTTCCCGGGATCNTTTGTTCAATTCAAAATAATTATCTTTTTTCTCATTAAATTTATGGAATAAGTATATTTTTTATTTCATCTTTAGAAATAAAATAGTATTTTTTTTCGTAATCACTATTATGTTCTTTAAAACTCCCAATGAAATGCTTTATTTTACTTTCATCTTATAATGTAGGAAAACATAAATTAATTGAGCCTAAATCATCGGTATGGGTAGGATTGGCCCTACACTTTTAATTACTTACTAGAAAATAAATTAAATTATTCAAATTTATGATATTCCTATATGATACTTTTTTTATTCATATGAAATTCTATTTTACTATCCCATCCCGGAATTTCCCGGGATCCTAAGAAAAAAAAATTATTTTTCCCGTAATCCCACTGGAGGCAAATTTCCTGAGAAATAAGAAACCCTACTCATGACTTTTAGTAAACTGATCTATCAACCTCTAACATCATTAATTAATCATCTAAGACAGAGTAAATTCAGAACTTTAGGGTGATTTTTCCAAAAACTTGAAATGACTTCACTAAAAGCTTTAAAATATACCAGCAAAAATAATTTAATTTAAATATGTTACAACAAACGTTTTCAATCCCTTTAGGATCTGCATCAGGTCATTATAATTAGAATGCTAAATGTTGGAATTTAAATGTTTTCAAATTGTAGGAATTGTAAACATTAGAACAAGTATACATCAAAATTCATATCTAGGTGTTAATTAATATTAAAATAAAAATAAAATTAACATAAGAATTAATGAATACTTTTTTTTTT